AGAGAGAGAGAGAGAAATTGATTTGTACCTTAAGTTCAGAAGAGAAACTACAACAATTGAGCACAGGAAGATGTCACATCGACTGATATGGTGGGGTCCATAAAAATCTTTCAACTGACCGTACATAAAAAACCTAACCACATAAGCAGAGGTTTGCAAATATTGTCTGCAAAAATCAATTGAGTTGTTATATCAAAACACTATATAGACAAACATCACAAAAGAATAACCATAATAAATTGTCTATGGAAGTTTTAAAAATCTTCTTAACCAAACAAACAATAAAGTAGGACGAGTCAATACTCTACAAAGTTTTTTGATATATTATTGAACTATCTAATTTACTTTCAACAGCTTATAATTGCCTTTTTAGCCTAGTAATAGATAAAAGCAATGAGCAATTGAGGCACCATTTCAATTTATGATGTTTGGATGAAGTAGAATACCGGTGCATTCGTTCATATTGATGAGGGAAATGCATAGTTGGAGGAAGGACTAATTGGGATAGGTTTTTCAAGGAACACAAGATCGGAATTTATGTGCATAAGTTCAGTCTTGTCCAATGTCATGTCCTGCAAATTCATTAAACGTATATGCTTTTCTGAATAATAAAAACTTCGATAAAATCTAGTTAAAAGTAACCATGATAAAAAAAAAAGTCACTGTATGCACTCATTATGGATGTTCTAAATTCATAAATAAAAGAATCAAGGCAAAGGATCAATGACTAGCCTCTACAAAAGTGATGTTACAGAGTAGGGACATAGTTAGGAAAAAGAAGATTAGAAAAAAGAATATAGAAGTGGAATGAAGTTAGTATTTTGATCTGATTACAGGCCATTCTATAACTATGACATTCTATAACTATGATGCATTGTAAGTCACAACAATAAGTACATTCATATTTTAGCAACAAACAGGATTGCATTTTCAGTAAAACCCCATGAAGCTAGGCCAAAATCAGAAGCTTTGCATTATAGTTCTGTGCAAACAATGGAATCTAACTATTATCCAATGGAGATAAAATTTAAGCACATGCTAAGCAAATGAGACCCATACCAGCTATCAAAAAAAGAAACAATATAAGAGTTTTGAATCAAAGAGTAGCAAAACAATTGTCCTGTGCACAGAGCAAAGGAAGCTTATGTACAGAGACAACCAAAACTTATGCACAGAGAAAAGCTTATGCACAGAGACAACCAAAACCCCCAAAACCAAAATTAAAACCACAAAAACCCCAAAACCCAAAACAAGAAATTCATATCACATTGTAAAAATCAATATCCTAGAAAAAAAAAAAAGGATTAAAAGAAAGCACTGAAGCAAATTCAAAAATATTCTTAAAAAAAATAAAGAAATCGACTTTAGAAATCAAAATAAAAAGGTAATGGGTAAAGAATAAAAAATAGCGTACCTCAAATCCACCAAAGATTGTCCCAATCGCCTTTGCAGCAGCAATGGAGCATATGGACTTTCAGAAATTTTGTGTTTTAGGTTTTATTTCTAGAGAGAGAGGGGGGGCATAGAGGGAGATTGAGAGAGATGGAAAACGAGAGATTACCCAAAATTCTTGCCATTGCGGTTTCGAGCTTCTGAGCTATTGGGACATCATCAGTTGGCTTTGTAACTGTATCCGACCACCAAAACCCAAAACAAACAAAACCCCAAAATGAGAGGGATGGGCAACGAGAGGTATATAGAGAGGGGCCAGCCATAGGGTTTGAGAGAGAGAGGTGGGTGGGAGATGGAGAGAGAGAGAGAGAGGTGGGTGGGAGATGGAGAGAGAGAGTTCCCATCGTGTGAGAGGGCGAGACCGGAAGTCACCAGAGAGAAGGAACGCTGCCCTCTGTTCCCACATCTTTTCAATACTGTAGTGTAGGGCTTTGGGATTTAAAATGAGGACCATCGGGAAAAATCATCTCAATCGTTGGCATACGAAGCCCCATCAAATCCTTTACTCTATATATATATATATATATATTCACGTACATAAAAGTATATTTTCTTTGAAAAAAGTGTTACTTTAAAAACAATATTGGCAGCTAGAGGCTTCCGAAATGCATCACATGAGCAACTTTAAGTTATAAAAACTAAATTTCCCACATTAAATTAATAAATTTATAAAAATATCTTTATACATCAAAACATGAAGTAATCGATTTACTAATATTTAGGAGAAAATACTACATTCTAAAAGCATCTAAATAAATTAAAAACCATAAAATTCGAAGTGGTACTATCAAGTTGAAAAAAGTCCAAAATGATAAATACATAAAATAATATCTCTAGATATATTTTAAAGGGCAAATTTTTACATAAAGGATAGGCTCTAAACAATCAAACATTTCACTAGAAGAGGTTATTTTGATACCCAAGTATCGTCAAATTGATCATCTCGACATCAAGATGTATGGACATGAAAAAAAAATGGATTTCAAGTCTTGGAAATAGTATATTTTGTAACGCATTTTTTAACCGTCAATTTTCAAGATTTTCAAGTTTTCATAGATATATCGATCTACATTATTTTTTAAGCTTTAAACTTTATAAATAAAAATATATATATATTTTAAAGGTATCACAAAGATTCCAGTATTGAAACCACATTTCTCGATACTATTTGAAAGTAGGCTCTAATTTGATTGTTAAGAGCCTAGGCTCTATACAAACTGCATCCTATTTAAAAAGTCTCTGTCTACATAAAACTTGAAAATATCAAATCTTATTAATACTTTTGATAGAATGCAACAAAATTTAATAGTAATTGAAATAATATAACTTGATCAATTGATATTAGTAAAACTTAAATGGATTATATGAATTTAAATTGGAAAATGGAATTTATCAAAAAAATTGAGGATTACCATCCAAACTTTCCGATGGATGCGAACGGCTATCGCCAATCTTTGTCAAAGTGTCCTCGCACTCTACATAGAAATCCCTAAACCAAATCCGGGCTCCAGTAGATTGGAACTCTTCAAAAATTTTATGAATAATAAAACTAATTAAGATATTGTAATATCGAGATGTTTAGTTTTTTCTGTTGAGATAAAAGTATGGAACCAAGATAGAGATGAATGCCCCTGTTATGACAGGGGTCTTTCTAAACAGTGGACCCTCTTTGTACTTCCGAACTTGTCGTAAGCTTCTACGTGCCCAAAGCTAACCAAGTTGATCCACCTCCAGCTCATGGACTTCGAGCCCAGAAGTGAGTTCAAATATTCACAGCTGTTCGCCAATTTGGTACGTTCGTAAGCGATTACAACATCGGCGAAGAAGCCAGTAAGCTCCATGCTAGCTTGTTGGGATCCAAATCATCCACTGCCATAGCCAAGAGCAGAAGCCTTGATGACAAGCCTGATGCTTTTAGGAGAGAGGTAGAAAGAGAAAGTGAGTAGAGCGGTTAGAGAAAGAAAGTAGGTTTCAGTAGTGCGGGAGAGCCACAGAAAGAGCGAGAGAGTTTGGTTAGAGAGAGAGGGGAAATAGGTTTTGTGAGATTTGGGTAGAGAGTTTGGATTAGTGGTATTATTGCCTGGCCTCGCCATTCTTTTATCAAATGGTAGGGGTTCAAATCCCCACTGACTTATCACTTTTAGAAAAGGGGATGGGGTCATAGCGGTAGAAACCCCATACCTTATTGCCACATCGTGGTTTCCATTCATAATGTTGACATCCCCAATTAACTTTTTCAAAATGTAACTCTCTAATTTAATGAAAAAATGGGTAGGATCATGTCTTCCCCACTTAATTATCCAACAAAAAAAAAAAAGTTGGGGCATAGAGGGAGAGAAAAAATGCCTTAATTACGGGCGAGTACAAAAAAAACCATTATTGGGATTGGGATATAAGATGTGATACTAAAAATATTAAAGGTAAGATTTTTACAAAGCAGATTTTGGAGATATCTATTTCGACACGGTTTCTACGCGGCTAGCCTGCATATTGTAGAAATGCAAGATTGGCAATATATTATTTTTTAAATATAATTTGACACTAATTTTTTAAAAATATATAATCTTTAACATGTAACTCATGTATATGAAAAAGAAAAATGATCCGATAGGACCCTCTCCACCCATATGTGTAGAATCTCAAAGGATTACTATTAAATTTGACACGGATCTCTAAAAAAATTAAGTCCCACACCTATATAATAACTTTTCTAAAGATAGGTGCCAAATTTAATAGCGATCATTTGGAGTCCTATACACATGGTGGGAGAGGGTCCTATAAGATCATTACTCTTTACTCTATGAAAAAAAAAATAATTGAAAATTGAAAATAATAATTATATTAAAAAAACATTTGGACAGTTAATTACACTAATTTTATTAGATAAACCACAATTTACATCCGCGTTTAAGATGAATGCTTTATACATCCGGACCGCATATTTAGATAAACCACAATTTCATCGACGCTTAAGATAGATGCTTTATACCGCATATTGTAAAACTGCGTCCACCCCGCATGAAACAATTTTCCTATCTCTATAACTTTCGCCCATTGGGTAGCACGCGCTCTTAATTCACCGTACCGGAGAAAGCAATTGGAAGCTTTTTAAAAAAAAAAAGTTGGGAGGAGAGATAAATAAAAGGAGGAATGTTTCTCATGACTGGAAGTAAAATGGGAGCAGAGTTGTTGGAGAGTTGTGAACAACACGTGACCTGCTAGTGATGCCTACTCATTTCTTCCCGCTCTCTCTCTATGGCGACGTCCTAACGCCATTAAAATTTTTTCTTTGTTTTCTTTACGAGTTATAGGGCAATGCTCCAAAGCAACGGTTGTATTAAAGTATAATGTACCAGTATTTTTAAATAATTATGTTTGTGGTATTTTTATCAGTCCAAATTTTGTGCATACACTCTGTTCATCCCAATAATCAATACCCTAAAAAAAAGAGTTCAATTTGAACCCTAGATATGGCAAAAATTAGTCCCCTCCAAAAACAAAACTAGACCATTCATTTTGTGAATTACAAGATCTTAGCCTTTATAAATTCAAAATCTTTTTTTCCTTTTTTAACATTGTTCATCTAATGATAATAAAGCTACCCAAAAAAATTGAAAATAAATAAATCTTTCTAAAGACTAGATCTAAGCATCTCACCAAAATGAACGACCTATGTTAATTGGGCTAAAAAAAAACTTTCTAGATTTTTTTTTCAATTTTTTTCTTTTTTATGATTGTTCAATAGAATGAAAAGAGCATATATTTCAAATTTTGGATTAAACAAATGGCCATAAGATGATTTTTAAAGATTGTTACATCATATTACTATACAACAGTTGCATGATATCATTGCTCAAACTTATATACTTCCTTTTATCCAGTCCCTCTGAATGGAGGATTAAGATTGCCTCAATTACAATTTCATATCTCTATACTATTTTATTTTTAATTTTTTTCTATAAAATATTCTGAAATCAAATTTTGGACGTCCAATTCTCCATTAAACTCGCACTTGTAAACAATATAAAAACATTATTTTCAATAAAATAAAATAAAAAAAATTCCCCTGAAAGTTTCAAGAGGTATTTTGGTTATTATATTTTATTGAAAAATTATTTTTAATCTTTTTTTTAGGTGTGCCCAATGAGAAGATGACACGTACCAAATTTCATATTCATACAATTTTTATAAAATATTAAAAATAAAATACTCTGAGACGTCAGATCTAAGATCAAACGGTGAGTAGCTCACTTGATCAAAATTGGATGCCTGGATGGTAGGGAAAGCGTAAATCTTCTAAACTATAGGGAAAGTATAGAAACCTTTCCTTTAGAATTAACGTCTTTTCATGTAGAGTTGCCAATACGCGGAGCAGCTTGTCTTGGTAACTTGTCTCAATCCTAAAAAATTAGGACCTTGCATGTAAAGTTTTGAAGGTTGTATTATTGAAGGGAAAATTGATTCATGCGGGCTTGACACATTTCTATAATATGCGGCCCAAAGGTATAAAGTATCCATCTTAAAGATGGATGCAAATAGGTGATCCATCTAAAACAAATGTAACTATCAGTCCAAAGGTTTTTTTAATATAATTATTATTTCTAGTTTTCAATTTTGTTTTTTTTTTTTTCATATTCATGATTTCCTAAAGATTATATATTCTTTTTTCATTTTCATGAACTCCATGTTGGGTATCTAAAATATCACATTGGAGTTCGGTGCATCCACAAGGTCTCTCAATCTTTTGGAGCAAGTTTGGATGGCCTGATCTTATGGAGAAATTTACTAGCGGTTATCCTTCGGAATTTGTGGAAAAAGAGCAGCTATAAGACCTTTGAAGGAAAGAAATGAGCTTTTGGACAAACCTGTAATGCCATCACAGGTAATACCATTATACAAAGCCTCCCTAAAGATAGTCTTTTTACCCATGTCAAGGAAATTCCAGTCTTTCGGAAAAATATAGACACATTTTTTGCTTTTTGGCAGCCTCCCCCCCCTAACGATTTTTCAAACTCAATTTTGATGGCAGTGTTAGGATCCAAGAACAAATTGCCGGATATAGAGGCATTTTTGAGGGATTTTAGTGGGGGAAGTGCAATGGCCTATCAAGGTAGGCTATACTTATGTGGGATTAATGAGGCTGAGCTATGGGCTTTAAAGATAAGTGTGACTAAACTGGAGCCAAATCACTCTCATTTGATTGTGTAAGGGGATCCGCCAATGTGACTTTCATGATCCAAGGGAAGTGGTATTCCAACATGTACGTAGAGAGCGGAGATGCTGTCTCCCTTGTTAAAGAGGCCACTGCCCATGTAACTCTCTATGGCCTTTAGTTCATATGGACTTACCCCTCTTCTCCTATTTTGTATTTCTCTTCTCTCCATGCTTTTTCTCTTTTCCTTTTTGCTTTTCCTCTCCTTATTTCCTTTTATGTATTTGTTTTTGCTCTTCTCTTTATTTGTACTTTTTCGTTATCTCAATGTAATATATTTAACATTAAAAAAAA